GACCCTGTGTAGGGTTTCCAAGGAGTGGCTGGTGGGTTTGATCTGCTGACCTTGAGGTTAGCAGTCCAGTGTTTATCCTACATTGCTACACCAGAACCACCAGAACTACCACACGCTAGACATGTATTAATTTACCCAATCTTCACAAAATTCTAATAAAACCGATGACATTATTTTCACTATTTTATAGTTGAAGAAACAGTCATAGAAAGGTTAAATCATTCACATACCGTCGTTAGCTAGAAAGTAGTAGAGCTTTGATTGAAGAGCTTTCCTTTTTAACTCTCACCCTGTCTTGCCTTCTGAGGTCAGACCACGTAGGGCCCTGTAGACTATGGAAAGGGTTTGGGCTAGAGTTTAATACCAGTGGCAAATATTGCAAAGTTACAAGCCAGACAGTCGTGTGGTCCGATTTCTGTTTGGGAAATATTTTTCTTGCTTCACTGTGGAGGATGGATTGGAGGCAATGAGAGGGTGTGAGATCAGCAAGTGGGTTATTAGGTTTACCAATCCCCTGTTGGGAGATAAAAGACTGGCTCTCAGCTTTTTGATCCTGAGCAGTGATTGTATGAACTTCCTTGTATACACACTGTATCTCTGCATATTGATTAATTTCTTTGGGATCATTCTTAGAAGTTAAATTGCTGTGTCATAGAGTCCTAAGGAGACTGGAGTTGGAAAATGTTCTTCCTGCAGAGTCTTTTCCCTATGGCAGTTCTTGAACTTGATCCTATTGAGAGTAACCACAAAAGGTGTTTCTTTTTTTTAACCTATACTTTATTGTGTTTTCAGTGAAGGTTTTCATATCAATTTAGATTCCCATTCAGTAGTTTCTGTATAAACTGTTTAGTAACATTTAGTAACACTGTGTGAGCATTTTCATTATTTCCATTTCAGTTGTTCCATATCCATTAATCTAGTTTCCCTATCCCCTTACCGTTTCATCTTTGTGGTACCATAATTGCTGATGCTTGATCTCATATAGATGACCTTTTTTGGAGGTGCACAGAACATACCAGCTGTTAATTGTTTTCTAAGCCGATTGTTATTTCACTATAGTGACCTCATGGGCTAATGTCAGGTTCAGGGTTTGAAGAGGATCTCAGGGCAGTAGTCTCAGAGGATCCTCCAGTTTCAACCAGCTCAGTAGGTCTGTTTTATGGTAGGTTGGTTGGTTTTTATAAAAATTTGAGGTTCTATATCACGGTTTTCTCCCTTTTTATAAGGGTTCATCTACTGGTGCCCTGATTAAAATGGTCAGTGGTGGTAGTTGAGCACGATCGAGTTCTGGTCTCAGGGTAGGTGAATCTGGTTTGTGAAGACGATGTGTCCTGTTGATTCTTTGAGCCTCTGGTTTTCTTCTTTCTCTTTTGCTTGGGACATGGAGAGCCCAACAGCTGTATCGTAGTCACTCACAACTCAACAAACTAGGATGTAGAACATCACTTTATAAACTAAATTATGCAGCGAGATCAAGACGTCCCTCAAGACTATGGCCCTAGTCTCCTTTTTTGTTGTTTTTGTTTTCTCCATCAGCTGGCTTTTAATAAACATAGCTCAGGTATACCTTTGCAACTTTTCTGTTATTATGTTTTAAGGTATGGCTGTTACACACAGCATTGAGCTGATTTTTATTTTTTTAATGTTTCATTGTGAATTATGTGATAGTTTACATGGGAGAACATTAGTTTTACATTCATCCTATCGTATATCATTTCATTGCCATGGTTACAATCCCCTCCATGCA